ATTCTATAAATAAAACAAAATTCGAATTAAATAAATGAATTGATTTAGAAAATTACCATTTTTACGAATACAATTATAATTTTCAGTACATCGTCGTCGTCTTACTTGACTACACCAGCTTGAATCTCTTAATTCTTCTGCAGCTTCTGTCCAATTATTCATTTCTAATGCTTTTTTCATTAGAACAAATGTATTCAATGCTCGACAACTGGTAAAAGCTACATCAATAATTGCATTTCGTTTCATCGGTGGTAGATTAGGTACATATTTATCAGCACATTTTATAGCTTCTGAATAGGATATTTTGTGAAAAATTTCTTCAGCTTGATCATTTGTTAGACAGTATTTACTTGTGTTTCTTTGACAATCATTTAAAACATTTGAAAGTGTTAAATTATACATTAACATAATCATTTCAGAATCATTTCGTGTAAGTTGATATCCAATACCAATTGTTGGTCTACCTTTACTATCATTACGACAACATAATTGTGTTCCTTGATTATACATGGTTTGTTTTGGACCACACATTGTTGCTATTGTCAATCTTATACATGCAAGAAATAAGAATACTTTCAACATAGTAGTTAATGATTGTGTGAAATGAAAAAGAAAAGAATCAATACATATTCGAAGGAATTTAAAATAAGACAAAACGGAAATACAGAATGAAAAATAGGAAGTTATTCGTCTTTTCATTTACATGAACTATTAATATAATTTATTTGCATAATATATTTCCATAGGTGTAAAAATAGCTTTCGGTAAATATCTTCAGTCATAAAGTTGATTGAATAATTATAAAAAATGCAAAGTGGAATTATATTTCGTTTACGATATTCGAAATTATATTCATTTGAATCGAATTAATAAACTCGATAGTGAATGTAACACTTATCAATCTGATTCTATTGGATACTCATGTCAGAACTTGAGTTTCATTGTGTCTAAAATGAATATTCGGATTGAATAATGAGTGAGACAAAAATCTTCCTTAATAATGAATTATTTACAAATTTTATATTTATCAATGGATTATAAATGCTAATTTGGGTGAAATATTATTCGCAAAAATTTGACCTTATAAATAATCATAATTTTTTTTGATATAAAACGTATAACATAAAAGTGTTTACTTATATATTTTTATAAACACTCTTCTGTTAATAGTAAAACGAGTAGGATAATGACTCAGAACGAATTGGAATTTTTTTTTCTTTCGTTTCATTATCAATAAAACAGAAATTATATATGTAAAAATATACGCCTTTATTTTATCTTATACATTTAATATCTACATAAAAATTAAATATAATTACAAACAGTATTTTCGTCTATCTACCAATGAAAACTTTTAGCATGTTATAGAATTTTGTATACTAAATACCTTCGAACTGTTACTACTGTTTCCTCGATATTGATATTATTTACTCTTGGTAAAAGAAAAAGAACAAATGCACTATGAATGACGAGGTATGTTCAGATTTCCAAAAAAGGAAATTACCCAAATTTCTGAAATTTCAATCAGATCGATAACTATATAGCAGTGCAAATCAAAAGTTCTTAGACATATCGGAAATTTCAGAAATTTTAGCAATTTCTGTAATTTCAGAAATTTCTGTAAGTACATAATTGCGAAAATTTCAGAAATTTCGGAAATTACATCATTTTAGGAAGTAACGTGCAATTCAGAACACAAATGCTTGAGAGCTCCGAAACTTCCGAAATTTCCTTTTTCGGAAGTCTGAACACTGCTGGCCCAGTGGCTATGTATTGAAGGTGAAATAACGAAATGACAATGAGAATAGAGCAGGGACATTGGCTATAATCTAATGTAAATGATAGTAAAGATCAACATCTATGTATTTGATTCTCTCTCCATAAAATTTATTGTTTTTTTCATAAGAATACTATTGAAAAGAGATACATTTCACATTACGAAAACAATCTCTGGGCAATTGGATACATTTATCAACTGCAAATAATCAAAATAAATTTCAAATTCAATCAAGAAAAAAAAAATCATAGTGAATGTAAAGTGAAATTTTAGATATTCCCTTCAATTTTGAAAACATCTCGTTTCTGGTCACTTTGGAATATTTTAAATTATCGATAAATTGAATAATTGTATTTATTTTTAAAATGAAGTATTTATTTTTAAGAAAGTTTTTTTAATTTTCAGTTTTTGATAATTTTTTTAAGGAATATCTTGATCTTTCTTCTATTGTTAAATTGATTATATTTCATAAATGAGGTAAAAATAAATAAAATATGAATAAAAAAGAAAATTTTCATTTGTATTCCCTATTGAATCTTTCAAATCATTTTAATATTTTATTGATAAAAGTATATGTTTTTTTGCCTAATAAGCAAAATATTTTATTTCTTCAACTAATTGAGGATTTTAATGAATGAATTCTGAAAATAATATTTTAAATATATACATATCTCCATTAATGTGATTTTAGTTGATGTTTTCTATAATGAAATCCATATGATTTTATAAAAAAAAATTCTTTTATCAAATAGAAGTGTAATATTCTTGAGGTGTCTGACCGTCTTCATATTTAAGGAAAAATGATTGAAACCAAATATTAATTGTTTATAGGTTTTCTCTGATGATTTTTGAATTTGATTTTTTTGTATTTGTAAACTCCAATTAAATCTGTAACAGCTAATGCTGTCAAACATTACTATAATAAGTGAGAAAAGGCTCAGAATTTGCAAATGTAGAGATAGAGATCACTGGATCAACGGTGATCGAATCGAGTTTTTCGGCTCAGAAATAGAGGTGCTAAATTATTGTTACTCGTAATAAAATAATGATAACGTAGCACCGCTACTCACGTAAACTGTATTTCGACAATCAGCAATCTTTTTCTAAATACATTAAAGCTTTGAAATCACTTAAGTATTATTTTATTAATGTTTTGGGCATTTTGACTGACCTCTTTAGGAAGTGTCAACATTCATGGGCCCTATCTCCCTCTGATTACATAATCATTAAAATGTTAGGAAACTCTGCTATATAGAACATATTCTTTCAAATGTATATTTGTTACTTTAATTTTAAATTATTCGTCTGCAGAAAATGTGAGTAT